GAAGCTAAAGAGGAATCTTGTTTTGGTGGGACAGCTTGGAGCAGAAGGCTATGTTTTAACATTTATAGGGATTCATGAAGAATCTCTAACGGTACGATGGCAGTTGTTCGAGATAACAAATTAGGGACTCTCTATCTCACCTCACATGCGAATCACACCCTCGAAATTATAGTTGGAAAAGAGAGTACAGATCTATGGCACAACAGGCTAGGGCACATAAGCGATAAGGGGATGAAGATCTTACATTCACAGGGAAAGCTAACCGGGATCAACTCCGTAGAAGTCTGGGCTTGTGAAGACTGCATCTTTGGGAAGCAAAAGAGGGTTAGTTTCCAGAAGGGTGGAAGGCCAGCTAAGACTCAGAAGCTAGAGTTGATTCATACAGATGTATGAAGTCCAGCCAATGTGTCTTCTTTTGACGGTTCGAGATACTATGTCACCTTTATCAATGATCACTCGAGAAAGTTGTAGGTTTACTTCATGAAGCACAAGTCAGAGGTGTTCGGAGTCTTCAAGAAGTGGAAGACCATGGTGGAGAACGAAACAGATCTGAAGGTGAAGTGTCTGAGATCAGACAATGGTGGAGAATACTAGTTGGAGGAGTTTAAGAGGTTCTGTGCTATGAATAGTATTCGTTTAGAGATGACTACTCCAGGGACGCCGCAACAGAACGACATTGCAGAGAGGATGAACAGGACCTTGACGGAGCATGCCAGGAGTATACGATTACATGCAGGTCTGCCTAAGACATTTTGGGCGTATGCGGTGCATACAACGGCTTACCTTATTAATCATGGGCCATCAGTTCCATTGGATTTTGGGATTCCAAAAGAGGTTTGGAGTGGAAAAAAGATAAAACTCTCACACTTACGAGTATTTGGTTGCGTGACTTATGTTCATATCAGTGACCATGTCAGAGACAAGCTAGAGGCTAAGTCACAGAAGTACACATTTATTAAATACAACATTGATGAGTTTGGATATCGTCTTTGGAATGAGAAAAACAGGAAGATCATCAGGAGCCGAGACGTCATATTCAATGAGGAGATGATATATAAGGATAGGGAAAATACTAAGGATAGAAAAAACAGTGGGAGCAGCACTTCGAATATAGGTGGATCCGAGCACATTGATTTAGAGGAACTTCCAAATAGGGGTGATGATGTTTGTTCTGACCGAAGAACGGAGGAGGCTCCAGGTGCAGAAGTAACTACCCAGGGCGTGGAGCTTAGAAGGTCATCCAGGGTACCCAAACCGAATCCTAGATATTTTTTATCTCTTGATTACTTATTGTTGACAGATAGTGGTGAACCGGAGTGCTATGAGGAGACAATGCAAGTGAGTGAATCTCAGCAGTTGGAGCATGTGATGCAGGAGGAGATAGATTCTCTACTCACTAATTAGACATGAGAATTAGCCCAACTACCTGCACAGAAAAAGGCCTTGCATAACAAATAGGTCTACCGGGTCAAGCAAAAGAGTGATGAAAGCAAGAGGTTTAAGACCAAATTAGTTGTAAAGGAGTTCTAACAGCGGGAAGGAGTGGACTACACGGAGATATTTTCCCCTGTTGTAAAGCTCACAACCATCAGGGTGGTGTTGAGCTTAGTGGCTGCAGAAAACCTCTTCCTTGAGTAGTTAGATGTGAAGACTGTCTTTCTTCATGATGACTTGGATAAAGAAATCTACATGAAGTAATCTATTGGCTTCATTGAACAAGAAAAGGAAGAGATGGCGTGCAAGCTCAAGAAGAGCTTATATAGTTTGAAACAGGCTTCGAGATAGTAGTACAAGAAGTTTGATAACTTCATGCAAAATAATGGCTACAGAAGATGCAATTCGGATCATTGCTACTATTTCAAGAGGTTCGAGTCCAGTTTTATTATATTGTTATATATTATATGTTGATGACATATTAGTAGCAGGATCGTGTTTAGAGGAGATAAACAGTTTGAAGAAGCAGCTGACAAAAGAGTTTGTAATGAAGGATCTGGGTGCAGCAAAGCAGATTCTAGAGATGCAAATCAGTAGGGATAAAGCTGAAGGGACGTTGAGGTTGAGCCAAGCTGAATATATTAAGAAGGTACTTCAGAGGTTTAATATGCAGAATGCTAAGGTTGTTAGCACACCCCTTAGAAGCCAGTTCAAGTTATCTGAGGAGCAATCGCCTAAGACAGATGTAGAGAGAGAGAGAGAGCATATGAGCAGGGTACCATATTCTTCGGCCATTGGGAGTCTCATGTATGCGATGGTTTGCACGAGGCCGGACATTGCCCATACAGTGGGAGTTGTGAGCAGATTTGCAAGCAATCCAGGAAAACAATATTGGGAGGCCGTGAAGTGGATATTACGGTACTTGAAAGGGACAACGAACAAGCCACTATGTTTCAGGAGGAAGGAGCTGGTGCTGCAGGGATACGTGGATGCAGACTTCGCCAGTGATCATGATACGAGACGAAGCATCATGGGGTATGTTTATACCTTAGCATCGATAGTAGTGAGCTGGGTCTCACGTCTACAGAAGATTGTGACTTTATCTACAACCGAGGCTGAGTATGTCGCGGTGACTAAAGCAAGAAAGGAGATGATCTGGTTGAACAGGTGCTTGGAAGAGTTAGATCTGAAGCAAGGGAGAGGAGTTCTTTATTGTGATAGCTAGAGCGCTATACATCTTGCTAAGAATCTAGTTTATCATGCCAGAACGAATCACATCGACGTACGATACCATTTCATACACTCACTGATTGAAGACGAAAATTTACACTTAATGAAAATTTTGGGGAGTCAAAATCTGGCGGACATGTTGACGAAGGCAGTCACCATTGAGAAACTGGAGTTGTGTGAACTTCAGTTGGCCTTCACGAGTAGAAGATGAAGGCGGAGCCACACTAGGAGGATTGGCGAGATAGACGTGATGTTGATGATTGAAGAAAATATTTTCCGGGGAGGAGAAGATACTTGTGAAGAAGGAGAGAGTTCGGGAGAGCTCGTTGATGGCGTTTTGGTCTCCAAATGGGAGATTGTTAGTCTAAGTGTAGACCCAAAGCTGAAGCCGAAGCTGGAATCAAGAAGATGAAGCAAAACGAAGGAAACAAGAAAACTATAGTACGGTCGACCGCGGTGATCTCGGCGGTCGACCGCGAACGTGCACAAAAACAGAAAAGTCTCTTGACTTTTTCCGGTTGACCGTGACGGTTGGTGTGGTCGACCGCGTCTGGACTCTAGAGTTGAGTTGGTCTTTAGACTTTTCACGGTCGACCGCGACATTGTTCGACGGTTGATCGCGAGTCGAGCTGGCAGTTTCCTAATCTATTTTGAATTCTGTTTGAGCTGGGATTCATATATATACCTATATGTTTCTAGGGCTAAAAAGGGACGTGAATAACCATCAGAAGAAAAGAAAAGAGAGAGAATCTCAGAGAGATTAATCCATTGTTTGAGTGCTTATATTCTTTCTTCAATTAATCAAAAAGATTATGTGGTATGGCTCCCGAGGACGTAGGCACGTTGCCGAACCTCGTTAAATTCATGTGTTCCCTCTTGTTCTTATTTCTGCAAGTTTTTATCTTTGATTTGTGGTGAATTTCTTTCTTGCTCAACTTTCTAACAAGGTCCGGAAGGACAAGAGTTCGATTTGATTGTTTCGAATCCCCAACATAAGGTGCTGATATCTAAGGCCAATCCTAAACTTAATAATCGACCGCCTCATCCCCAACACAAAACCTTCTGTCTACAAACCTCCAAGCATATAGTATTTTCTAATTTTGCTGGGAAATATATGACAGCTTTCTAATTCGTAACTTTGTTATTGGTTCGTCCGGTAGAGATATCCAAATGCTATGATAAACTTCTGCAGTAAAATAACTTAAACAGCATTCTGCTTATCCTTTCCTTTGTTGTAAAAGATCACACTGTGCAGGTAGTTATCACTAGTCCATTGTTGCTGCATAAAGCATTTGATACCTGAATGCATACTGCAAGTCTGCACGAGCCTATTCGAGATCTCTCCCAGTCTTTCCCTCCCCTTGCCCGCATTATATTGTGTAGACAACTAACTGGGTGCTTTTCCAAAATTCTGAAGGACATGAATTTGCATGCCAATTGTCCATGTGATCACCCTGCATGAGTGCTTTCTGTGGTCGTGCCTCAAGCGTGCTAGTCTCTATATAAGATTCTAAAGAAAATATTCTAAATCAAATAAAGTAAGAGCAACTTTAGCCATAACAATATCTACATCCCTATCTCTTATCTGTCATGTGAATGTGATTTCAAGATCAGAATCTTTGTAGGGATGATGGATCACCAGGCATAAAGAGCGATGGAGAGGACTCACCTGCAACGATTAGTCGCATCTCAATCCACCGCCAATGATGACAACAGCTGAGTCAGAACTAACTAGGCATGGCGCCATTTGGGAAAGGCTGACTGTTCAAAAGTTAAAAGTTGTTCGTTATACATTCTCTTAACGTACACCATAAGAAAAAGGATTAATTGTGGATAGATCCCCTGTAGCATCGCTGTTTTGAACTTACTACCCCTTTAGTTGTATTTTTATTTTTGCTGATAGACTGCCTGAGCGATTTTTTTTTTACACTTTTACCCTCAGGAGGTATATTTGTCAAAGCAACACTTTTCTCTTTCTTTGCCGGAAAAAGAATGAAAATAATATCACTCAGGCATCTATCTACAAAAAGAAACTAGAGGGATATTAAGTTCAAAACAACAATACTACAGGCGGTCTATCCGCAATTAACCCTGAGGAAAAAAAAAATATCAAAATCAACTACAACTTGCCTTTGTCAAGGCTAGAAAGGGGAAGGCTCATATGCATGGCATTGTTCTCCTGCGTAAAGGAGAGTAGAAAGTAGATTCCAAGCCTCTGGAGGAATTGCTGCATCTGTTACGACATATTGCTAACATAAAGTGGATACCTTGCTATGTTATCCCCTATATATACTGACAAACATTCTCCCTTTTCTCTCACCTCTTCCCACCAAAATTTAATTTGAAACTCCTAGCTCTTTCACAATTTGCCTTTGCCCTACAAATTCATCTCAAACGGCCAGGATTTTGTAGTCTCAATCAGGACTCCGATCACTTTGTCAAGCATTATTACCATGTTGAGAGAAAGGGCACTAAGGGATCCCCTCGTCTTAGGAGGAGTAGTTGGAGATGTCGTGGATCCATTTATCAAGTCAGCGATTATGAGAGTCGTGTATGGTGACAAGGAAGTTACTAATGGGACCAAGCTCCGGGAGATAAATGTGGCAAATAGGCCATGTGTCACCATTGAAGGAAGGGATGCAAGCAAACTCTATACCCTTGTACGTCGAGCTAACCTTAACTAACTCGAAATTCTCTTTTAGACTTGCACGAATTTTTCATGTAAAGGTATTATAATTTTTGAACCACCAAAATACTATATACACCACAAAGTAGTGAGGAGTTTGGAAGGTCCATCAACTTACTGAAATTTAACAGGTTCACATACCTGCATTAGATCAAGTCATCTTACTGACATTTGATGCAACAAAGAACCCCTAAAACAGCATACATAAAGTGCCCCAAGTAGGTCTAGTATTGAAATTTACTGGCCAGGTGTGTAATCTAATGCCATATATCTTATATGCCCATACATGTTTGCATACAAATGCCATGAATGATTTAAACAAAATTACAGATAAAAAATTATCTCAAGGAATAGAGGTTAGAACCAAAACGATGAGTTATACATGATTGATATCAGTCAAAAGAAATGTAAATTCATGTCAAAGCATTAGAAGAAAAATGAAAGCAATATACTTACTAAATTGTAAACAACATTTCGTTTAAGAATCAAAAGTGGAAATGGAGGAACCATAATTTCAACATGATATTGAAACAAATTTGCAATGGAAAAGAATATTTCCCCCCCTCTGTTTCTGTTGAGAAAGCACAATAGAAACATTACTTGCCTGACATCAGTTTCTTCTCTCATAATGCATCTCCAATGGAGGAGTACCATTTTTATTCGTTGCTCCATATTATACTATATATTTATATCTTTATGGCTTTTTACGAACTTTCAGTAATCAAGTGTATCTTTATTCTTAAACAAGGTGATGGTGAATCCTGATGCACCAAACCCAACAAATCCAACCAAAAGAGAGTACTTAAACTGGTGAGTTCAGTCTATCCTTTACTGAAACTTCTATGCAGCTTTAAGTTTATTACTTCTCTAGCGAGACAATCCTTTAACAGAAAATGTAAGTAAATTTGTTACTTACTAGTCAAATTTTGTGCACCAGAAAATAGGTTAGAGATAAATAAGATCATAAAATTTGCGAGATGCATCCACCAACATTAGTAGATATAAATGATATATTAGAATGTCGGGATGCCATTTATAAGATACCCAGAGCAGAATTTGGCAAGCTGTGCTAACATCGCCAATGCTATTTTATTTCATGAATTTTCAGGTTGGTGACAGATATACCAGAAACCGCTGATGCAAGCCATGGTGGGTAATTTTTAAATTTCAATCTCGCCCTACATTCCTTATGTTTGCAGGAATTAAGCATGAAGCTCTTATTTTCGTTTTATGATTCATGTGGATATACTAAAATTGACTTATGAAGAAGGGATGCGGATTGAGTTTCCTTCCAATTTGTCCATATGTATATTTCCTAGACGTACTTAACTAAGCAGTAATATAGGGCCGTATGCAAAATGCAAGCTAAATGACATGTATCACTTATTTGTGTAACTTGCCACCCTCATTCACGACAACCTTGATGAACTTATTACACGGTATTTTTCAAGGAGAGAACATAAAATAATCTAGTGATCATCTTCCATGAGATTTTCCCATTATTTACCAAATCTTTCTCTATAAAATATCCATTATCTTTAAGTACGTTGGTTTCAATTTATGACTAAATAGGCATCTGTAGTAAACTCACATTGACCAATACTAGATCTCTACCTGGTGCCCAACTTATTATCCTGCCCAATTATTAAAATACCACAAAAAATCATAATTAACATATCATGGTTTGAAACATTGTCCTATTGATTACTTCACACATTATCAATTGTGAAGGGAAAACAAATTGGAAGATGTCAAACGAAATGCTATATTGAGTTAAAGCTGAGCTGAAGCTTGTAAATGTCTAAACCATATTATGTCAAAAGAAAGGCAATAACTAATTGGTTTCTGGCATGCTGGTTATGTTTATGACTTGCACCTTTAAATGATTTCTAGCCGCACATGCTCTATTGGAGAAGAAAAAAGATGTGCACCATTAAGTGATGAAAACTAGTAATACAATAATATAATATATATGAAAAATGACAATTCCTCCACATATGTAATAGATATTACATTAAAATACTATAACCAAGCACAATTTTAGGAGAAACTGCACTTAAGAAAATATATTGGAAAAAACTTGAAGACCAAAAACCCAGCGTGTAAGAAATGTGTTGGTGAGCATAAATTTATCACCCCTCTAGAATTGGGTGCAAAAGATTGAAGGCATGGCGTTGATGCTTCACAATCAAAATAGGCTAAAATTATGAACCCTAAAAATTTTTCCATCATATATATAAAGCATATGCAAGATGGATACATGAGGAAGGGGTTACGGTCCCATCCCTCGTATATGATCTCAAACTACTTCTGTACCAACAATAGCTTTTGTGAACAACTCACGCGACCTGGAAAAAACACTATCCACATGAACCTTTTAGGCATAGAAAGTGACCGAGTAACATTTGTTGAATCTACTATAGTAAGATGCAAACGGGCACAAAACTGACGCTATATTCTCATTTATATGACCAGGAAATGAGATAGTCCCTTATGAGTGCCCACAAGCTCCAGCAGGGTTTCATCGTATTGTCTTTGTGTTGTTCCGGCAGGAAGTTCAACAAACTGTATGTGCACCTGGATGGCGACAAAACTTCAATACTAGAGATTTTTCAGCAATTCATGACCTTGGTCTACCTGCTGCTGCTGTATACTTCAACTGCCAGAGGACGACTGGATGTGGAGGAAGAAGGTACAACTAAAGGACACTAATAATTTTAGTTATTTTCTCATCAAAGAAAAAAAACCAAGCACGGCAAAAATTTGAAAAATCTAAAATGTGAATAAGGCTTTTTTTAAAAAAAAATGTGAATAAGACTTGTTTCCAATAGGTCTATTGAAGTAGAAGAGTTGAATCAAATTGAGATGAAGAATTAAATGTGCTTAGCAGTAAAAATTATAATAAGAACAATACAGATATTTCATGATCTGAACAAGTGACTAATAACTCAACAACTCAGTACAGAGCTAACTATTCACATCATCAGAGCACAGGCCGCTAACAGTTTCCAGGTTTTACCTACCTTTAAAATAAATTCCCTCGCGAGCCCCGCAAATACATGTTTGCATGTCTTTTAGAAGCACTGCTTTATGTGCTCCAGCCATACAGACAGCAGCAACAAGCAAATATGGATTGATAAAAATCATCAAGACAAAATGTTAAATGCTTGAATGTGCCTACCCCCTCCTCATAAGTGTCTAGAAAATAGCTAATTAATCAGAATCCTACCTCCCTGTCCCATTAGCTATGTGAATTTACAGCAGTAACAATGATAGTAACAACAATGGAAATAGCAACTATAATGATAACAATGACAATAAGATAGTAACAGCACAACAATGCAGTCAGATAATTCTACTCAAACAATTATGCAGGATTAGTTAGTTTTCTGTTTCAATGAAGATTTACATTCCTTTTGATAACATCTAGTGGTCGAAAAATGTATGGATAAAAGTATCAACCTATTTTTTTAACGTGCTTTATATATCCTTCCCGAATCTAATCTTTTGGCCCGATATAAATAATAAACTAAATTGCCTACAATGTAAATATATTAGAAAATGGGTATTGATCGATCAACTGGAGTAAGAAACTAAAATGTTATTTCACTTGATGAAAGGTTCTCAGGACTCTACTGATTGGGATATAATCTATCAAGAAGAATCAATCGCCCGGAGATCAAATTTCCAATGCATGCCCAAGGATAGTTCAGTTCATCAAAAATTTTGGCTCTCCAGAAGAATTACCTAATGTCGCAAAGGAATTATCTCTACTAGATAAATTCAAGCATTTCTTACCCCGCCAACTAAAATAACTCCAGACGAGCTCACGTTTTCTCCCTCAAAATTGACCAACGCAAAGCAGATCAATTTTCAATCTAAAACATGACACACTTTTTTTTTTCTTTCTTGTTACCTATATTGATTTCTGTGTGCGCAAGAGAGATTGAATTTAATGATTCCAAATCAATAAAACACTTTCATTCCTTCCATCTTTTTTTCCCATGGATATTTGGCTGTTTTCTGTTTCATTCATCTTTACTCTTGTGTGGACAAACAAAACCCGTGCACTATTATGTCACACATGTTCTCAGACCTCGGTTAAATTCTTACACTTGGAAGGGTTATTAGAGTTACTAGTTTTGTGGAAAATGGTTTTTTCTTTATGTGAAATAATATATTCGTGGCTTGTAAGTGACGCAGGAGTAATAACTCTTAGTTTTCTCTTTTCTTTTAGAAAAAAACCGTCGGTTTGTTAGGATTTTTAGATCTCGCAAAAACCCCGAAAAATTACCAAACGCAGCAAATAGAATCACACGAGATTTAACGTGGAAAACTCTCAATAGGGAAAAACCACGATATTAAAATCAATCCACTATCACCTCCAAATTATAATTTTTTGCACAGACAAAGACTGCCAAACCCTCTCTCTCTCTCCTTCTCTCTACTCTTCTTGGTTTTTCCTCCAACAATAGAAGAATATATATATAGGGAAACCAAAACCTTATCTCTGGCCTAACGTCCTAATTAGAATAGGATTCAAACTCCTAATCATGATGAAACATAAACTCCTAATCATGATTGTTGCAGCGGGGGGCTTCACATACGCGAAAGATATCTATACAAGAGTAGAGAATAACAACACTGAATAAACACAGTGAATCCAAAGAGAACAGCACACAATGATTTAACGTGGTTCGATCAGGTTAGTATGACCTACGTCCACGGGCGAGAACAGAAGAGAACTTCACTAATCATAAAATAGAAGATTACAAAAGAGGAGATCACTCTCTAACTAGAGCATCACACAAAGAAAGCGATTTCTCTTTCTATCTCTCTCTTCTCTCTCTCTAATTCTTTTCTTTCTCTCTGTCTGTCTATCTCTAAACTCTCTCCCACACCCTCCTTTTATAGTTTCCAAATAACAATAATAAATTGAAAAAGTTGTTGTTAGAATAGTAATTGAGAGTAGGTGGCATAGTGATGTTAGGTAAATGGAGAAATTTTCAAAGACACATGACAAATCTCCACCTTGACTTTAAAAATAAAGATCTTCTCTTTACTCTTGCTGTCTCGCAAGAAGCCCCTTATGGGCTTAACCTTCGCTTTGTTGAACTCCAAGTAATTCAAGACAATGCTCGAACTTGTGCAAAGGTACGGGCTTCGTCATCATATCTGTTGGATTGTCTGCAGTATCAATTTTATCAATCTTGATGACTTTAACTTCTCTGATAAAATGATACCTGATATCTATATGTTTGGTTCTTTCATAATACATCTGATGCTTCGTCAAATGTATAGCACTCTGGCTGTCACAAAGTATCGTAGTAACACCTTGGTGTAAGCCGAGATCTTCGACCAAACCTCTCAACCGTCGGACTGTCAAACAACGAACCGTCGAACCGTCGAGCGATGAACTGTCAGACAACATGGCGATGAGCCGTCGAAAGAACAAAGCGGCAAACCATTGATGACGCAGCAACAAGCTACCGGAATAGCAAAGAAAGGGAATGCACGCTCACCGGCCACCTCGACAAGTGGCCGCCCGCGCTCAACTGACCGGTACTTCTAGTGGCCCGCGCGCCTCATGCAGCAACCTCGAAAGTTGGCTTCGCAGTGTTCACCACCAGCCACCAGTGGCCCGTGCGCTCATTAGCCACCTAAGTAGCCAGCGCACTCATCAGCAACCTCCAAGTGGCCCGCGTACTCAATACGCCACCAATAAGTGGCTCGCAACGCTCATCAGGCCACCTCCAAGTGGTCGTATACTCATCAATCACTTCTAAGTGGGCTCGCGCACGTCAGGTATCCGTTAGCTGCCGCGCCTCGGAAAGTTACAAAATGACAATGCCGCGTCAACGACAAATAAACCAACCTGAAAAGCGCGCCATGCGGGCGCGAGTCGTGTCGAAAAGCGACTTGACCAAGGGCCCAGTGGCTGCGAGTACAGGCCAAGCCACCTTCAGTGGCTCGGCAATGGTTCGAGACACAATAAGGTGGCTCGCACAGTGCCGAACCACCGTGGGGTGGGTTGTGCCCGGAAGTGTTCAAAACACGTTTTTGATGGTTTTTCTCAGGATTTGTTCATTTCAGAGCCTCCCAACTGTTTTGAAGCTATCCCTAAATATGGTTAAGTTGTTATTAACTGATGATAATGTCAAATCATTAATTTTTATCCAAAAATGCTACAACCGAAGCCTATAAATACAAGCCTAGGACCCTATACGCAAGGGAATCTGAAATCTAGGTGATGTGCTGTCAAATTGAAGAGTGATCCACAAATTTCACAGGAGGGCTAGCAGATCTTGGCGAACTTTAGCATAAAGAGGGAGCTATTCGAAGAATCGATCTAAGGCCTACTTCCCCTTTCCTCCAAATCAAACATGGTTTTGATCTTGAGAAGAGTCATGGTAGAGATTATCACTTCTGCGATTGTTTCCTTTGTAAAGCAAGAGATTGAATTTTAATTCTGTCAACCAGATCTGATCCACGGCGGTCCACAGCCTGACTCTTTACCGACACAAGTAAAGATACCACGCAAGCAGTGGGTGATAAATGTCGTCTGCGTGTGTTTTAAGAGAGTTGTATTATGTTATTTTATTTATGTAAGTGAGTAGTCTTATAAAAAGATTTACTCTTTTGAATTCATTATAATCGATAAACAATTGTAATGGATTCTACAAATAAACCGACTTTCAATGTGAACACGCTGGTGACCACAGTAGAAGCCTACAGTCTCTCTGCCGAGGCTATCGTGCCGCAACCAGGGATCAAGATCCTAGTTGATTTTAAGGTCGAGTACGAGTTCGACCATGCCAAGTTCGAGGAATACCTCTCCTCATCCACATCAAGATCTTCCTCGTCACGCAAGTACAGGAAGATATCGGCATCAAAGAAGGCTTGGGATGACTCTCGCCTAATTGTTGCTGAGGTTTCCCCTCGTAACGCTCCTTTGGCATCCAAGGAAGACGAGGTTTCAGATCACAACGACTTCTCTTCAGTCCAGGAGTTGTTTAATGAAGGCGTACCAATTCTGATAAAGAGGGATCATCAGAGGCAACGCCAACGCCTTGCACGTCAACTTGCTAAGGCCTTGGAGCCAGTTGATGGGATCTGTTATCACGCAGATCTAAAATGCAGAGAGCGCCAAGAGCCTCAATAGCAAGCAAATAGCCCCTCCTCCAAGCCATCGGCTAGCGAATGGTCCGTATCAAAAGGACTCGTTCAACTCTCGAGGATTGCATCCAAAAGTGCCACGCACGTGCCTTAGCACGAAAGGTGCAAGACACGAAGGAGGACAAGGTGGCCAAGAAACCACTAAAACCACGCCAAGAATAGAGGCCAAAATCCAAAACAGTGATTTGGACAAGTGCCGAGACACCCAAAAATCACGAGCCAGCCAAGCGTGGCTTGGCCAGGGCCAGGCCA